TAATTAACCAAATAAATAGTCATGAATTACTGTAGCAAGTGAATGTACTGCTAGTATGAAATCCAATATTTTCTTGACAAATTAAGGCAGGAATCTAAAAATTAATTGTATTTTAATCCTATTTGTTTGCATTTTAGGTCAGACACACCTAGAATTATGCTATATTTAGTCATCACACTCTTCATCTTTTTGGTTGTCCTCATCATCAGCTACAAATACACTACTACAAACATTACGCAGCTTTCAAGAGAACTAGAGCAAGACTGAAAGACCAGTATCTTACTCTCTGTCATACTAACAACAACCCATAGACCAAATGTCAAAATATGGTGTTATTTTTGACAGCTGAAATACTGTTTATTAATGGTTTTATAAGCACTTTTTGTATCTCTAAAATATCATTTAATGTATTTAGTTTCAAATATAAAGGACATGCTATTGAATACACCTTTAATTGATTTGTGAGTACAGGGCAATGGTGGTTAATTTTAACAGATGCCTTTCAAGACAAACTAAGTTAAGTTACAGTTGTGAGCCTCAGGCTTGGGTTAGCCTCACCTTCTTACTGCTTTCGCTGACTTACCTAAGACATTAGCATATCTTTTCAGTGTGAAATCTGACAGAAAAATGCATACAAAGTTTCCACTCTATCCAAGGGGCAGCAGCCAGTTCAGTCCATGTGCAGCACAGTCCATGCAGGGAATATTGTATGTTGTTCAAGATATTTTTTGATACTATATATCTTACTTCTTGTTTAACAAATGCTAATTCTATCTTTAAAGTACATATTTCGATTATATATCCTCTCAAGCTTATTCTCTCCTTCAATGTAGGGGTTACAATACTTGTTGTAAGAAGTGTTTTATTTGAATCTATTTTTGCACTTCTAGCTAGAATTTTCTTATCAGCAAGTTAAGATACCCTATAAAGCTTGTACTGTTAATGGCAATTGTTCAGTTTGTCCTAAAATAAATTTAATAAAACTTCATAGGTAAATAAATGGTTGAACTTCTCATAATAACTTTATTCGACATTCTCATACAGATTATAAAAGCTGTAGAAATCTAGCTCACAAAGAATCCATGAGCATTTTTAATAAATTGTTACTGATAGGTTTTGCATGATTAATAACCCATCTATTTCAGTACAGTTTGTACCAAGGCAGAATCAGAAAAAAATCAGAAATCAACTCCAGTGAAAACAGTCTGTTTCTACTGAACATTAAGTCGCATAGGTGAGAGCCCTCCAGCTCCTTCTGGAGTATCTGCACATCTGTGTTCCACCTTAGCTGCACATATGCCAAATGCAGGAGACACACAGGAGGAGTGCAGCAACATCTGCATGGGGTGCTCTGCATCTCTCTGAATCTAAGGTGCCTTAGTCTTCTCTCAGTTCTCTTTCATGGCTGAAAATGGATGCTCCTCTAATCTTGACTACTTTACATATTTGAAAACTGAACAGACAACGGCATGTTCCATGGAGGAAAGAAACAAGACTGCTCTTCAAGTGTATCTCTCCCATACAAGGATAGGAAAAAGTCACAGCGTAAAGTAAATGTAGTATAGATTGGTAGACAATTAGTTTGGTTTGTGTTCTTCTCTGAGGAGATTTTCTGTGTTTATTTGAAGGGCTCAAGCAGCTTGGTTTTCGGTTTTACAAGGCAAGAAGTCCCTGGGTTCAGACATTATACTTCTTTTGTGGTAATAGTGCCCACTACTGATCACTGCCCCTTTACCAAATTGCCAAATTGATCTCAGTGAGTATCTTGGAGTATCACCATGCCATACTACTCAGATAAATGTAAACTGGTATAAATGTAAACTGGTATAAAATATACCATGTAAGGCACAAATTTCTGCAGTAGTCATGCATGCTTAACATTGCTTCTGACACCTAGCTAATTAGTGTCTTCCTGCTCAAAAGGATTTTCCTGTCTTTTGCAGATAACTGCATGAAAGGATAAATAAACTGCATCACCGAGGAAGTCAGAGCTGTGGTAGTGTTACTACGCTATGTAGTAAGTCTAATATTTAAATGCCAAAATTCAATTTTTAAGTCAAATAAATGACACTTGTAGGCTTTATTCTTCAGCTTTAATTCATATAATATGAATTTTATCTCTCTCTCCTGTCACTACAGGCTAGGAATTATGTTTTCCTCTTCTTTTTCTTCACAGTGCATGTTGTAGACAGGCAATGAACAGGAGAGAAAGAAAACTAAGTGATTCACTAGAAGTCATTCCAGCACTATGTATTTCTCTCTTCCAGTTAATTCATACATAGTTGGAAATGGAGTCCCTGCCTTTTCAGATAAGGTTTTTTTACCACTGCAATTTCTAAGATACAATCACATTTTCCTCAGAATACCCTGATATAGAAGCAGCTTTTCTCCCACAAAACTTTTTGGTTTAATAACTACCAGCTTGTTTCCCAGCTGCCAGCCAAAGAAGCAGATGAAAAATGCAACCCAAGACAGTTACAGACATCCTGTCCACAGGTTTACTCTTCCACTGGCCAAGTAAGGCATTACTGCCAACAGTCTCACATGGCTAAGGTGAACCACAGTCTGTCAGGCGGTTGAATTTCATATCCTGACAACCAGTAGCCAAATCTCTTCTAAGTTCTTGCAACTGTACTGTTTCCTCTAACCAAAGATCACTCCCCAAAGTAGGAAATTAAATTGATGCTTTTTCAACTGTCTGCATCAGTTATGCTGTAGCACTGGAGGGATGGAGCTGTTCTGCGTGCAAAGTGGAGCCCAGGGTGCACAGCTCAGCAGCCAAGAGGAGTTTGAGCTGAGAAAGAAGGGCTGAACATCTAACAGCTAAACATCTGCTACCGGGAGTGACAGTGGAAGTCAGAATAACCCTGGGGTTGTACAAGCTCTTTCTTGCAGCACCTTCATCTCAAGGGCGCATCCAGAGTCTGTTGTGAACTGCCTTTCTTAAAGTACTATAAAGGGGCAATAGCTGTCTTTATAAAATTGAATCTACTGTTAGAGAGAAAGCATCTTTTCTCCTGCTGATGCTTTTACAATCTGGGATTTTGTTTTGTAGTTCCTTGATAGGGTTGTACGTAAGGTTAGCTAACCATGTTACACAATAAGGTTAACTATCGAAGGCATTTGCAGCCTTAGAAGTGGCCACGCATTAACCAGTATCCACATGTGGGTTATCTGAAGATCCAAAGGGCTCAAACGTCACTCTGTAAAGGTAGCTCCAATTCCCATTCTTCACTGAACAGAACCCCAAAATGGCCGTGCTGGGGGATGCTCCCCACACGGCCCGAACACTGACGTTCCCGCCACCGGAAACTCAGCGCCTTAACCTGCGTGTGCGTTACGCTCGACATGAAACAGGGCAGCCTGCCAGAGCCCAGCAGGTGGGAAAGCGCGGCGGTGTCCGCTCCGGCGCGGGTCTGCCGGGCCTGCCCACGGGAACCCTCCGGCCACCTCACCCGACCCGACAGCTGCCCGGCGCGGAGACAGCGACAGCGACAGGCCCGG